CATGAGGTTTAACAGCGTAATGATTTCCCTCAGAGCCACTGTTATATTAGTATCCTCAGTAGTCATATTTTTCTTGTTGGATTTTTGACTGTACCACTGTTAAGTGTTACGTACAGACCTTGCTCTGATACCAACTGAGAATGAGAAAAATACTCAAAAGAGGGGTAAAATTGTGTTTTCAAAATGTTTTTACTTTTGAACCAAAGTTCACATTCTAAACCAGAGTTTAAAAAATGATAACAGGTGCAGCAGAAAATATAACATAACTAAATACAAATAGCAAAGAACACATAATAGTTATCCTGGTTCCTTTCCAACTAAGAATAGTTCAATCCCCTTACAACGCAAGAAATTTCCACTATAATAAAACAAATTACAACTGTTGATATCTTCAAGTATAAGACTTTACCCTGCTCATACATATAGTCTAAGAATTCCTTGCTTAATCAGCACCTGATTAAGACTTCTCTACTTAGATCCTCAGATCCTAAGACTTTCTTTGCTTAAACCCACCTGGTTCAAGACTTCCTTGCTTAGACACTCTACCTAAGACTTCTATGCTCAAACCCTTGGTCCAAGACTTCTTACTCAGATTCCTCGAATCCAAGACTTCACTACTCAATCTCAAGGCAAAAGACTTTTATCTAAACTGACTGTTTAGAGAAGGGATAACTTACAACAACACTTGATTAACAAATATAGGTGTTAATACAACACACTTTTAACACTAAGGATTCTTAAGCTATACAAGAATAAGAACTATTAACAAATTATCTTCTCTTGAGCTGAAATGAATGAAATGCGTATGTATCTTAGTTGTAGTTGCAACGTTATTCTCTTAGTTTGATCTTTAATTCTTCTTCTCCTTTTATAGCTGAAGAAATATTGTCATTGAAGCATCCTCAATGGCTATAATCAGATCAAATTTTCTAGTACATCTTCTTTTCTAATAAAGCAGGTCTTGGAACTTGTAGGCAAAGAGTTATCCATAGAACAAGGCCTTTGTCCAGAGAACTCTTCTATAAAACAAGCACAACACAGTCTTTTGAAGATAATGTCAATAGTTCTTGAGCCCCGTGTTATCAGAGCTTAAGTTGACACTACTCAATTTCAGAGGCATCCACAACACGCTTCTAATTCTGAAATGTACTAGCAGTAACTTTCTGATCAGACTCTCTCACGAGTACATAGTCAGATCTGAACCAAAGCCACTTCCGTGTCAGAACCAGTATCATCAAGTAAATATAATTCTGCACACAAGAACCAGCTAGTTAGACATCCTAAATGTTTTTCAAATACTTTGTTATCATCAAAACCTTAGAGGATACATGGTATGAACCAAATTTGTCTAAGCATATATTTCATTTTCTTTGTCCTTTGTCTTAGAAAAACATCTTGGATTCTTTAAAACCAGTCTTTTTAATGACTAAATATGTTGTCTTATTTATAGATAAAATTCTAGTTTCGTGAGATTATGTTGTGCCATGCCCTAGCCATACCATGATGAGTCAATTAAAATGCGTCTATGTCTTGGTAAAACAATTTGATTATTGAATTGTTTTTGCACTTAAGATAGAGAATTTGGATCACGCTGTTGAGTCTTTTGAGCACCTATTACTTGAAGATGTTGCACCGAACCGCGATTGACATGCTTTATGTGATTTTCTCTTACTTTCTTCTGTTCTACGTGTTCCATCTCTCTCATTGCTTCATCATCGTAACTTTTACAGTCTAATACTGTGAAATTTGTTTGGTTATGATGATTTCAACACAATTTGATTCTTCAGTGAAGTTAATACATAACAATTAAGATAAAATGCCAAATACTTTACTTTTAATTAATTAGTACCTAGCCTTTCAACTACTCCTTGCGAAGTCAATTCTACACCTTTATATATCCTTAATCATCTAGACGAGATAACTAGAAAAATTAAGAATAATAACTTTTTCATTAACAATATCCATGTGATTGTATTGTGCTTACCATTATGTCTATAGGAAGTTAATGTAAAGAATTATACACTCCAACATAAGGATATAATCTACTTCAAACAAAAAAATGGAGGCAAATGAAAAACATCCATTTCAAAGATATGTAAACTTCAAAAGTATGTTTTTATTCTCACTTTTATATAAGTGTATTCTATGTAGGTAATACATCCAAGTTATGATATTCACATTTTAGATTCGCTTATAATATTTAATTAGTTTAATTCATATTTTAGTCGTTTAACTTAATTTAACATTTCACTTTATTTCCTTATTTAATAAATATTACTTTTTAATCCCTAAAAAACTATTTTGCTAACCAATTTAGTACTTTATGTTAAATTTTGACACAAAAAATGATAAGTTGTGATGATGTGGCAATCTAGTTGGTATAATTTAATGTGACATGTTTTTTTCTTTTTTATAAAAAAAAGATATTATTATGTGACAAACATTCAAAAGACACTAATTTTTGTTAACCCTAGAAATAAAAACTTCTTATTCTCTTTCATTTGTTGCAAACATGAATTGCAAACACCAACGAAGAGAAGAAAACACACACAAACAGTAGACGAATGCAACCCTATAATCCCAAAACATATTGTTTTAGTTAGAATAAGGAAGACTTGTGACTAGAAAAAAGACCGATGATTCTTCCCCACTCTTCAACATGTATGAAATTATTTTGCTCAAAATCTGAAGTTGTTATTTTTTGCATCTTTGTATCACTCATTCTTTCTACATTCTACTCCCTCTTGTCCTATTTGAAAGAGAAAGTTAACTTTTTAGATTCATTGAATAATCAATGTATCTGGTTCATGATGCAATCCAGATACATTGATTATTCAATGAATCTAAAAAGTAAATCTTCTCTTATAAATAGGACCAGAGATAGTATTTCTTTAGATTGAATAGGCCACAAATATGATGTTTGAGTGTGATTTTTATCACAGGTGGATTTATTTAGTTTACGAAATTAGGTTACAATGGATTGGGGTGTGTTTGATAATGTGACCATGATTTTTGGTCCTAATTTAAAGTGTTAAGTGATTTAAAGGATTTATGGTACTCTATTATATAGAGCTTGTGGTGTTATGATGCAATGGACGTCAGTGATACGATTCTCTTGAAAGATGATTTAGGAACCAAATATGAAAAACACTGCACTGATGAATGGAAATGTGCATTTATACATTATCCATCCACTATCACAACATGAAATAATTGAAGAATTGTCATTTTCCCTTAATTACAATGTTATGAGGACCAATGTAGTTAACCTCGACCATGGAGAAGAATATGATGCATAAAACATTGGTTAGGAAAAGAACTTTGAAAAAAGACAAGGGCGAGGGAATATGAGAAAAGTCAAAGATGAGGGATGGAAAAGTCAAGTCATAGTGGCCTATTAGAAGGGACCTAACTGATCAAATGTTGCTAATATAATCTGTTCTAGTATAGGGTGAATCGAAGGGACCCAACTGAAGATGAAGTAGATGTTTCTCCTAATTTGTTAAACTTTAGTTATAAGCTGTTTGCGGGGAAACATGACTGTGACATTATTTTTCCCAATATTTTGAATATTGATGACTATAATCTAGTTGTTGATGAAAGCATGATTGGTGTTCCACCCATGTCTGGGCCTGTGAGAAGCTATCTCCTCAAGGTTCTTATGCAAGAAGCTAAGGCGTTATGGGAAATCATAGTTATGTCCACGACCATAAATGGTGTGTGTGAAAGACTAATTCAAATGTTGAGTCCGGAGACTGTAGGTGTTTCATCTTTTTAAGCTACTATAACATACGCTGAGAAAGATAATGTTACATTAGGTATAGATGAAAACATGGCTAATGGTGATCAAGATGTAGATGTTGAGTATGAGACATACTCTAATGATGACTCTGTCACCCTGTGTGTGAAAGAATTTATACATAGATATTTACTCATGATTTTTTAGGTAAAATTGATACATGTTTCTATTACACAAGATAATAAGTTGGATTCTCCCCCCAAACTTTTATTAGTTGTTGAATGATAATGGCAATCCTCAGTTTCGGCAAGTCGACTATTTCCTCTAATTTCTTATGTTTTCTTGAGTGAGAACAATGTCCCTTAACATTATATAAGTTTTACATCACCACATCTTAAAAAAGACGAGAAGTGTGACAAAACAACACCGTCAAGTCATGACACTTTCGTCCATAGTTTATAAATATAACAATTAATGTAAATAAAAAAAGATAAAAAATAATTAAATATAAAATATTATTTTTTATTTATTAATTTGTTCATTTTAGCAAAATTAAATCATAATTACGATGGGAGGATTAAATTCATACCAAAAATGAGAAGAGGCAATTACAGTCCCCCTGCTCTTATAATTATTAATCTGAGGTCCCCCTCAAACTACCATATGTTCCACAGAGTAATTTATCCCTCGCGATTGCACATAGTCTTTAATCTTCTTCCTAAATTATCTCTTGAGAATCAAATAAAATTATATCACAACATTATCAAATTTTATTCATTTTATTAATTTATTCATGTTATAAAATTAAATTGTGATTCCGGTGGTATGATTGGATTCAAACAAAAAAAACGAGAAGAGGCGGATGTAGTTCCCCACCACTCCTCCTATTAGTATTAAGTGTATTAAAATGTTTTTTATATCATGCTAAACAATTAACACAATTACTTATCTATTCTTAATTAAATATCAACCACTAATAATATTAAATAATTAATACAGCATTAAAATCATATATTTGATTTGTTTTTATAAAATCGAAAACAGAGAGTATAAGTAGAGGAAATAGAAGTAGTTGGTGGTGGTGGTGGGTGACCTTTGAGGGTTTTGAAAGGCTAATTTTTGAGTCCAAACATTTCTTTCAATGGTCGTGTCTTTTCCATTTAATCTTGCGACCCTCTGATGTCACTCCTTTTTAGTATAGTACTATTAGGTACAGATTAGAGAGGCATTTCTGAGTTTGAGTTTGAGTTTGAGTTTTCAGATGAACAATCAACTACTCAAAATGTCATCTGTAATTGCTTGCGGCGGTACTTCCAAATTTATGGCACCATTATCATTACCACCATCTTTTAACAGCTTCGTCATTACACAGAACAACAAGATGAAGAAGGGTTTGGTGTTAGATTATTGGGGGTTTAGTAACACTAGAAGGAATGTGATTGTTAAGGCATCAAGCGACGTCGCTTCACCATCCATCTGGGAGAACTGGAAACCTCCCAAATCGTCTTCTACTCCTTCCTTCAGCGATATTCTATGGCCTTCTGCAGGTTCCTTTCCACCTTCTCTTTCTTTTCTCTTTTTTACTTCCGTTTTTATCTCACTGTTATGTCATTTTTTATAAAAGAAGGAAATGACTTATATGTAAGTTTGTTATATTGATTTAGTTTATATAACAAAACTAAGTTGCCCGTTAAGCCAAGTTCAGTTTGTAGTTATGTAGGGACGTTATATAGAGTGTGGCGCGAGTTTGAACCTGCGGCATCCCACTTGTTTACTTGAGTGAATTCCAACCACCAGGCTACTTTACAAATTGATCGAATTGACTGTGTTTTATTTTCTCAGTTAATGTTGAAGAGTATGCGATTATGATATCTTCATTTTTGTGCGTTCTTTAAAAATCATCAGGGGCATTTGTAGCGGTGACCATATTGGGAAAACTGGATCAGTTATTGACACCAAAAGGACTCTCAATCACAGTTGCACCATTAGGAGCAGTTTCTGCACTCTTATTTGCCTCACCTTCAGCCCCTTCTGCCCGGGTACGTCTATTAGTACTAACTCATTTTGGATTTAATTTATATATGCCGTCAGTGTAAACAATTTTACACTATTGTTCAATCATATACTCCCTCATTGTAAAGAGTTTCTAAGTAAATTGGGATTATTATGCAGAAGTACAGTATGTTGATGGCTCAAATAGGTTGTGCAGCCATTGGTGTTTTGGCGTTTACTATGTTTGGACCTGGATGGCTTGCCAAGAGTGCTAGTGTTGCAGCTTGTGTTGCCTATATGATTTACACCGACTCCGTTCATCCCCCAGGTATTTTTGCTTCTATGATATTTGAAACTAGTTTCTATCTATCTATCTATCTCCAGCATTATTATTAAGCCGTCAAATTTTGCTATATCTACAGCCGTAAGCATGCCGTTGCTTTTCATCGATGGTGTTAAGTTGCAACACTTGAGTTTCTGGTATGTTTTGTATCCCGGGGCAGCTGGATGCATTATGCTCTGTTTCATTGTAAGCAATTTATCTAACTTGTCATAGGATGCATGTAGCCCGAAAACCGTTTTTAGAACCGGTTCATCTTTACTACCTTACTTAGTCTATAGCATCCATGACTATCTCCTTCCCAAAATGAGCTCCTCATAGTTTTCTAATTGGTTGATCTGATTTTTGTTTGTTCAGCAAGAGGTGGTTTTATACATGAAGAAAAATTTCAAATTCTGATCATGCTTTGCTTTGCACAACCGTGATAGATTGCTACATCTTTCCGTTGGTAGCCAGGGAACATTGTTCTGCTTTACCTTCCAAATTCCGATTTGTTTATGCAAGGTTCTGGTGAACATCCTCCAACTAAAAATAAAACATTGTTCTAGACGTCTCTTCGAGAAGCAAGGCTCGGGTGGAAACTATGTGGATGGTTCAAATTTGCAGCATGCAAGTTGGCACGATGTATATTTGAATGAGTTCATTGTGTACTGTGTATTGTCGGATAATCATTTGACAGTAATACTTCTAATTCTAAACATTGCTTGCGAATGGTTCCTGCTCTGGTAACAAAGTTGTTCAAAATAATTACAAATAATTAAAGGCAGCAATGATACTGCAATGAGAACATTTGAGTCTCTACTTTAGTCCTTTAATTTGTTTCCACCCAACCTAGACAAGAGATGGAAAAGTAATACAGGACAAAGAGAGGCAACTTTTCCACCCCTAAATCATTTTGGATGTATACAATGTGTATTTCTAAATAAACATGGTTGTTTTTTTCCCTCCAGGTAAGCATATTTGAAATAATGTGATTATTTAGAAACACGTTTTGAAAAAAGTTACTCCCAAAAATGATCTCTTGTAGTCTTGGTTGGGAAGGCCACTCTTTGTTTAAACAGGAAAATGGGGTGAGCCACTTATGATGTGAGTTGGTGTATAATAGATGCATTCGGATTTTGATATCCAGATTGTAGGAAGGATATTTTGGAGTTTCATGATGGGTGGTTTGTTCACCACTAAAGGCGGGAAGAGAAAACCCTTTATATTAAACTCATTTTGTCAAAAATATGTTTCGATCTCAAAAACCACGTTCAGTTTGTAACCGGTTCTGCATGTGAGGAGTGAATCCAGATTTTAAACTGGTTCTGCATGTGAAGAGTAAATCCAGATTTTAAATTGCGGACACACAGAAATATTCCATGAGGCAGAATTGAGTTTGTAAGATCCATATTGATCTAAAATTTGTATAAATATAAGCATTCCGTTGTTAACAAAACACTACAAAAATGTCATAATATTTATATCTTGCACTTGTCTACTTCAACGGCGAGAGACACCATCTTAAATTTAGGTTTAGAGAGATCACTCCTGTATGAAATCCAATTTTATTTGGAGAATTTTTTACAATATCCAGACAATTGAAAACTAGTGAAATTAGGTTATCGTTCGTCTTCGATTGACAATAAAGAAAAGATATTGTTCATTAATATTATATATTTTATGTATGTCAAATGAAAGATTTATGTGAATTATACTTATTTTTCTAATTTTTAATATCTAGACAACCCTGAATATTTTTTCTCGTTTCTTCTATGTTTTAATTTATCATAATAATAAGAACATTATGGATTTTAACATCCGGATTAACCCTTAAGCATTATGAGAATTTGAGTTTGAGAATAAGAGTAACACATGGGAAGAGTAATGCACTTATATATTCAAATAAATCTTAACTAACAAAAAAAAGTTCTGCATATAATAAAATAACTTCACGGTTGCACTCTTATTTAATTATTCTTCCAACACATATCTGATACATGAATAATTTAAAACAAATTAAATTGATAATTTATGTTTCCTGTATTTTATCCAAATTACGCAATTCGAACCACATAAATTATCCACTATTTTCACGTCTGAACTGTGTAATCCAGAGAAAACTTGTGTATAGGAAAATGTTGAGGATGAGAACAAATTACTAGTTCCATCATGATAAAGCTAAAGGAGCCACGGGAAGCCACTAATATCTAAGTCCAACCATTGATTCTACTAAGTTGTCTTCACGCCTAATCATCCATGCTTCATAGATTGATTAATTTTGATCCAACTGATCATACTATATTTCAATATGAACTCTTTTACAATTAAATATATCTAATAACAAACACTATTTAGAAACAAAGTATTTTGCATTAATAAGCTGAGATTGATAGTCATAACAAACGAAGTCACTGTGATTCCGCATTCTCTATTTAATAATTTTTTCTTCTAAGCTGTCAACCTCTTGGTTATATTGTCAAAAGTTAAGTTTAACCCCTCATTCTTGATTTTGTGTAGCTAGGTGCTTGTAGGTATAATGATTTTTGATTTTGTGTAATTATATGCTGGTAGGTATAATGATTGTAGCAATATGTTAACCTATTTTGCTTTGATGCTGACAACACTATGACATGAAGTCTTTATTTGATGTGATGATCAATTTGTTGTGCTTGGAGATTAAGATGATATCAATCAACTTTTGGTGGAGTCCATGATGATATCAATCAAATTATATCTCTCATGATGGTATCTATCAAGAAGCCTTATCAAACCTAATTATATAAGAGTGAAGTCAAGTCTTAAACGAAGTGTTGAATTATTATTGTATCAAACAAGTAATCTTGAATCTTCATGTTATGAAAGAGAGGAAGCATAAAAATTTCTCTTGTATATGTCAAGTGATATGTGTTTTTAAAAGTATAAACTTTCTCTTGAATTACTAAGGCAAATCACACATGTACACGTACGTACACACATGCGTCTGCACGCGCACACACGTGCGTGCACTCATACGCACGCACACATGCATACACACTTTTGAATAATCAATTAAGAGGTTTTTACATGGAATAATCAACTATCCCATTAGGTTTAATCAATTATACTTTTGTAGCACTCATAATCGATTAGAGAAAGCCATAATCAATTACTGACGATGCCATTTAAATTTTTTCCATATTTGAACTACATAATCGATTATGTGATATGCATAATCAATTATAAGCATTAAAAATACCATGTATTTTTTTCATTTTTAAACCACACTTTGTCTTACAAATACATAGCTCGTTTCTCATTTCTTTGAATTACATATTTTGAATACTCTCTCTCTCTCTCTCTCTCTCTCTCTCTCTCTCTCTCTCTCTCTCTCTCTCTCTCTCTCTCTCTCTCTCTCTCTCTCTCTCTCTCTCTCTCTCTCTCTCTCTCTCTCTCTCTCTCCCTTTTTAAGAGTGGTATTCACCTGTGAGTAATTTGCTTATGCTGTTGTGGCATTTTTGTAATATCTCTGGTGAGATTTTGTTATTTGGTTCTGAGTTAAGTCAAGCGAAAAAGTCTTCTTTGGTTTAATGGATTGTTCGTTAAAATCTCGTGTTTGGTTCGTGAGTTACACTTGTTATAAAAGCTCTTTTTTGGCTTGCAAGATTGTTCCTTAAAATCTTCGTTTAGTTTGGGAGTTGTGCATGGTATAAAAGATCTCATTTTTTTCGCGATTGGCCTTGTAAAATATCTCATGTTTGGTTTGAAGGATATCTAGTCTAAAATTCCAAGTTCGATTGCAAGAAGGTTTATGGATGTAACTTGTGAAAATTTCTCACATATAGTTGAACTCTCAAGAATTAATTCTTGGGGAGAGGATGTAGGCAAAATGACTTGGCCGTATAAATCTCTAGTGCATTCTTATTATCCCTTATCTCTCTTTATTTCTATTATTTGTTTATTTTCACTGATTGATGGTGAAAGACAAGATTTGAAATTTTTATAAAAGTAAGTGGCTTTAAAATGTTGAATTTTTAATCAATAGCTCATTTATTCCTACTTTTTTCTTTGATAATAAAGTAGTAAATTAAATCGATTTTAATGAGCTGAAGAAGACAAGAGAAAAGTAAAACACGTATTTAAAGTGAAACATCTCTTTATAAGTGTTTTAAGTTCTAAGGAATTATTTAACATTTTAGATTGTGATTCAGCCAATGAAGTGTGGAACACTCTTGAGATGGTTCATGGAGTTTCTTCCATGATTTAACAAGAAATAATAAACACACAAATGCAAGAAGTTGGAATGCTAAATGAATATGAGTGTATCCCTCGTAGATGATACTAAACCACTGTAACCCTTGGAAGTTATGTTAGGAATTTTGTATCTAACAACTATCTTAGCATTTAAATTTACCATGAGAAATATGATCCTATCTTAAATTCCAACAATAGTAGTGTCTTTGTTGAGTTTCAGGGAAAATCTTGAAACAAAAAAATTATCAAGAAACTCAATGAGTTAATCTAGCTACTTAAGAAAGAAAAAGAAATATCAAACATACTTGAAAGATCTTCATCTTCCCCGTCATCCTCATTTTCATCAAGAGAATAATCAAAGATGAAAATAAAAGATTAACACCCGTAAAATATTTTGTACAAGCGATCTCAATAGATGAACGATCATCCAAAGAGTCATCATCTGATGAAAATGATAAATAAGCCTTATTTAGTAGAATCCTTGACGAAGATGCTTCATCGAGTAGAATACGTGAAGAAGCTTCAACAAGCAGAATCTTTGAAAGATCAATATTGGAAGAAACATTTGGAGATTCATCATCACATGAAGAAGATGAAAAATCAATGAAATTAATATCAAAGAGATTCAAATGTATTCAAAGACATACTCGAAGATATATAGGAATACTCTCATGAAGTGTCTTGTCAAAGAAGCGAATCTAATAAATAATATCATTGGTGCTTCAAAGCTTCAAGAGAAGACGGTACTGAGGTCTTATTTAACAAATGATCAAATGCTTAAGATTAATGTTAATTAAAATAGAGATAATGATAAATTAGAGAAGAGCATTATTGATCTTAAGGAGTATATTAAACTCTTAGAAAATACCAATAAAATTCTTGGTGAAGAAATTGCTAGCATATGGAATGAATCCCTTTAATCAGATCAATATGAATCTTGCGATTCTTTGAATATTGAAATAACCAGCTTGTATGAAACCTTAGTAAAATTCACTAAGGCTAAAGATAAACTTGATTTAGTTATATCTAATCAAATGTACTCATTTAATAAAAATGACTTAGGTTATAAATCTAATTGATTATTTAAAAATATTTGCAATGATAGAAAGAAAACTAATCGTTTGATCTTTAAGTACAATTTTTGTGGTAAGCTCGACCATTTAGAGCTTTATTGTAATGCCAAAATA